GGATTTATAAACTCCAATCAAAACTTGTGACACGTTCTGAGTTATCATTTTGCCATTCCTTAAAAAAAAACGCTTGTCTCACTCAGGAAAAATGAATAAACTATAAGTGTTCTAAAAAGGATATTGTTTAGGAGAAGAAGGGCATATTTATTTTCCCAAAACATCTTTCTGCTGTTGCAATCACAGACACACACCATATGTTCTGTGCTAGGTCTGACTGCCACAGGGTAGTCTGACAGCCCTGTTGACAACTCAGTCAGGTTAGTAGTATATATTTTATCTGGTTAAAAAAAGCAGTGCAAGGAATAGCAAGACACTGTTCTACTTAAATATCTGTTGAATTGCTCCTGTATCTTCATGAGAAAGTATTTAAGAATGCCAGCTAAAGCATTTTTAATAAAGCCTGCTCAAAGTATGAGATATTACTATGCTGACAGAGCTTGGTGTTACTCAAAATAACAACAGTGGATGAGATGGTTGACTCATACCAATAAGGACATGGGAGACAGGAGTGGTCTGCAACATGTAAGAAGAGGAGGATGTTGTTGTATGGCCAATATGGTACATGGAATCACTCAGTGATTTTCACTGGTCAGTTATGTGCACTACATAGTTTTGCAACACTGCTGACTCATATTCAACTTGCCATTGACCAGGACCCTCAAGTCCCTTTCTGCAGGGCTGCTCTCCAGCCTCTCTTTCCCTAGTCTATAAACACAACCAGGATTGCCCTGTCCCAGGTACAGAATCCAGCACTTGCCCTTGTTAACCTTCATATGGTTGATGATTGCCCAGTTCTCTAATTTTTCAAGGTCTCTCTGCAGGGCCTCTCTGCCCTTGAGGGAGTTGACCACTGCCCCCAATTTGCACAGTTTTTTGGAGAACAAATAAAATAACACTTTTCCTGCCTCATCTCTCTGAAGGTAAATGTGGCCATTTTGTGAGTCTCCACAAATATAAGTGTGTACACTGTCAGCGCCCTGAGGATAGTCTCCCTCCACCCTTCCTGGGCTTTTGGTTACCAGACCTCTGGGCTTCCTTAGACACAGGGTGCAGGTATCTGGTCTTGAAATGAGCTGTTGGGAGAAGCTGCTCTGCAAGGTCCCAGTGGGACTCCCTGCTTAGCTTGGGAGTAGCTTTTAAGCAAAGGGTCTCATTCTTGGTGCACTTCTGCAGTTGACTTGCATCTGGTTGTTTTCCACCTTCACAACTTTGGACTTGCCTCATCGCTGAAGACTTGTCTAATGATGTGGTTAACCCTGTTTGCTGTCACAGGACCTGTCCTGCTCATCTTGCTCAGATGCCATGGGAAGGTGCCCTTGTCAGGGAGGGTCCTACCTGGCCTGCTTTGCTCTGACCCGTGGGTTCCTGGCAAACAAACATGCATACACTTACCTGTGTAAACAAAGTTACACTTTTGAGCTGTTCTTCATTTCACTTTCCACCAGTTTGTTTTGCCACTCAGGCTATCAGTGGCTGTGGGACGTTGACTTACCTGACCTTACATCCTAATTATGGAAGCCTTCATTTTTTAGATACCATGAGAGAAAACAGGAAGTGAAAAAAAAACAACCAAGTGGTTTTGGTCCTGTATAAAATGAAACTGGAGTGATGTTTTCACTAGTAAGCAAATTGGGAAAATATCTGATCAAGCAAATAAGACTGCACCCATTAAATCTGTGCTCTGAAGGTCTTGAATAATTAAATTCCAGTAAGTAGAATAATTCTGTTTCAAAATAGTGAAGAGAATTGCTTATCTATATTAAAACTGCTTGACATAAGCAACTTGAAAAACCGAAGTAATTAAAAAAAACAATACACCAAAACAGAGAAACACAAAATTGCACTGGAGATAACCAGGTTTCCAGAACAGATCCAGATCTAGAGTATAGTACTTTGGCATGTCTTAAAAAATAGACAAAAGTAAAAACAATGAAAGATATGTACACTGAATAAGAAAAGCTGCTACAAAGATGTCATGCTGCATGTACAGAAACCAGGAAGTCTTGAAGGGATGGGATAACCAAATATATTTAGTTCAAGAATTACATATCCACTGTAGTAAACTGATATTATTTCAGTCTTACAAGCCACAGATAAATGTGACCTGTCATTGATTATTTTGATTTCTTTGGATTTCAAGGATCAGAATTAATTACTAGAAGTCTTACAGCACCAAGCACATGTGGTCTGCGCTGATGATACTCGTAATTTTTTTAGAAATTATAAATAGGTCAATTTTAGGGGAGTTAACTTTGCTGAGCAGTGCAAGATTGCTACAGAAGCACAGGCTTCTGATGCAGGCATGCAGATGATTGTACTTACAGCCATGAGAGGCAGAATCATCTTATGCCCTTAGCTGAAGAAACATAGTTAGCAGAGGAGATAGAGCATTTCAGCAGTGCATGCTCTCATAATAAAAGGTGTGTTCTGATTTGGTCGTTCTTAGAGAAGTACCAAACTTTCTTCTTGGGGTTAATGGGTGAATAGAGCTGGACCTAGATGTCAGTGTCAGGATCACTGGGAACTACTCAATAGGATTATCTGTGAGGTTTACACTTGCCAGCTAAATAGAGCCAAGTCAGGTTTAGCTAAGTTGCAATCATCACAGCCTTATGTAATACAATACCTTTCATGTCTTTACTAAGGTTATCTGCAGGGTACTTAATCATGTTAAAGTAAGCACTCTGTCCTGATGCTTCATAATCCATGACAGCTTGCACAATTATATGGAGAACAAAATAACTAACACCGACATATATTCTTAGCTGACTGATCCAGTCCTGATTTCATATGCAGTTGAAAATGTTGACTGGAGACTAAGATATATAAAAAACTACTGGCAGAATGAGCGAAAGCAGACTTTTTGTTATTTATATATACATATATTTCAATAGTAAAAGGCACCTGCAAGACTAAATAAATGTATAAATGCCTAACAAGACATTTTAGACTGCCTTTCTGCATAATGAAAAACATAGAGATGATTTTTCCTAAGTAATTAATTGCCTTCTTGCAACTGTCTAAATTACATTCCTATCCACTATAGCTAAAAATATGTAGATATGAATGCTTCTACTGGGTGTAGATGGTAACTTATTCTTTGGCTTTTTTCTCCCCCTGTTAATATTAATAGATCTAAATCCCTCTTCTTTTCTAATTTTCCTCTTGATTTTTTCTAGGCTTTATGTTTCCTTCTAAAAGAATAAAACCTTAAAATTGCATCATTAGGCATACAACATTAGAAGGGAAAATTCTGACCAGAAGCGGGTTTTACTTTTTATTGACACTGCATCTTCTTAAGGGTAATGCAAAGATTTAGCCTGTAGTGTCGGCGCTTCTGGATTCGGTCACGTTTATTTAGAAGCCTTCTGCCACATCCTGAAAATTGCAGCAGGCAGAAGTGCATGGCTGGGTGGGTTTGCACACAAGCGAAAAATGCAGGAATCCCAGCTCTTACTAGTTCGAAGGAGAGACTTCATACTGACACCACTACAGCCTGACAGGCCACGACCTCCTTTTGGGACACAGCAGTCTTCTAGCTGTTATGATGCTGAAATCAAACAGAGCATCAGATATTCCAGCTCTGAGCTCTTGAAAGGGATTAGTTCATTACAAATTCAAAAAGCAGTAATTTTCAAATTTAGTGCCATTTTCTTTGGCAGTACCTTCACAGCACTGCAAATACTGGCACTTTGCACCTGCTCTTCTATCTCCCTAATCTGAGCATTAGTTCAAAAGAGAGAACATCCAGCTAGGGCTTCTGAGCGGGAGGAACCAGGAGCAAGGGCTGTTGTGTCTCATGCCTTCCCTTGGAAACTCCACACCTCCACCTGCACTTGCCCTAAGACCTAATCCTCAGCCTTCCCAAGTGCCCAGGAACCTACGGGAAAGCCATTGCCTTGGGCTCACAGAAGTGGCTTAGGGTTTCCAAATCTGTTTTCCTTGGCAGTCCATTCATAGAATCATAAAATCCTTAAAAACCTCCAGGGATGGAGAATCCACCACTTCCCCAGGCAGCCCATTCCAATGCCTTATTACCCTCTCTGTAAAGAATTACTTCCTAATATCCAACCTAAACCTCCCCTGGCAGAGCTGACAAGCTCCCTCGTGTCTTACTGATAGTTGCCTGGAAGAGACCAACCTCCACCTGGCTACAAGCTCCTGTCAAGGAGTTGTAGAGAGTGAGGAGGTCTCCCCTGAGCCTCCTCTTTTCTCGGCTAAACAACCACAGCTCCCTCAGCCTCTCCTCATAGGACTTGTGCTCGAGACCCTGCACCAGCTTCCTTGCTCTTCTCTGGACCTGCTCCAGGACCTCAATATCCTTCCTGAACTGAGGGGCCCAGAACTGGACACAGTATTCGAGGTGTGGCCTCACTAGCGCTGAGTACAGGGGAAGAATCACTTCCCTGAACCTGTTGGCCACACTTTCACCAAACTGGTCCCCCACGCGCAATCCTCTCTCAAGGTGCACATTTCGCCCCCGCTTATACGGCCCGGATCCTCTCCTCGCAATCCCTGGAGCTTCATTCCCGCAGACGGTTGAGAAACCATAGAGACCGTGGGACCCCGTCCCCGCTGCAACCCCAAGACCACCTCCCCCGCCCGGACTTCCCCCAGGTCTGGGAGGGCTTCCCTGTATCCCTGCCCCCGGCTTCCCGCCGACCGCTCAGCCCAGCCCAGCCCAGCCCAGCCCAGCGCTTCTCTCCGGCGGCACCTCCCTGCCCGCTCTCGCTCCGCCTCCGCGGGGCGTGCAGGGGCGCGGCCGCCGTCCCATCGCTGCCTCCCGAGCGGCCGCTCCCGGCCCGCCCGCCCAGCGCCGCTCAGCGCCCGTCCCCGCCGGGCTCTGCAGGTGAGCGGGACGGGGCCCGGCCGCCGCGCCGGGGCTGCGAGCACCGGGCTCGGGCGGTGTCAGGGAGCGGGGAGGGGGCGCGGCGGGCCCCGTCCCTCCCGTGTCCGGCTGATTCACCGCGGGCCGCCGCTCCCCTCCCCCTTCAGCCGGGGCGCGCCTTCCTTGGGGCTGAGGAAGGGCCACATTGGGGCCAGGCGGACGGGCTCGGTTGGTCCGGTTTCAGCCTAATTATTCTTTCTATTAGGTCGAGCACGAAGTTGTGTGGTGCCTGCGCCAGTGTGCCGGGTGCTGCTGTTAAGCGGGGCTTGTCCTTGCTGGAGAAAAAGGTGGAAACGCAGAGAAGGTGGTGGGCGCGGTGCCGAGGCGGGCGCTGGAGAGCCGTGGAAAGGCGCGGTGTCCTTGGCATCCTGCTCGCGATTTGCCCGTGGTTTAAGGGCTGGTGCCTTAGTGCCGCAGATGAGGGAGGGGATTGGGTCAAGGGAGCGGTGTGACACAGGTACACGGGGAGACTCGCTAAATCTGCGCCGCCGTGTCAACAAAGGTGACACGGGTGACCCGCAGCTTCGTGGTTGTGGCTCGTAACCGGGAGGAGCTTCACGTCTGTAGAAGTGTGCACGCGGCGCAGCATCACTGGTGGGTTTTCAAGTGTGCGGAAGCGAAATAATTGTGTGTGTGTGTGTGTATGAGAGACTAGTCCATATTGCCCGTGCGATTCCAGCCTGTGAAACCTGTAAAAACTGCGTTCGAGCTTCACACCGAAAACGTAATACTTTGCTCAAGGCATGACAGGTTTACTGTAGGAAGACGCTAATTAGACTTCTTGTAAAAGATCAAGACTTTTGCATCATTTCGGAATTCCCTTTTCTTGCTTCATCTTTGCACAGCTGCGATCTTTTGCGCTATGTTCTCGGGTTTAAAATAGAAAACTCAACCTAAAATATTACTTCTGTTATAATCCAGTTATAACAGAGCTGTAGTAGTGTTAATGAAAGTGTAACAGGAAGTTCCTTTTTTGGAAAGAGAAAAGTGCAAAGTAGGATCAAGACAAACATCTCATTCTTCCTCTTAACCTGGCAGATTGTCAGCACTCAGAGGGCAGTCTGCAGTCTAAGGGATGTTACAGTACAGAACGCTACTCATTTCCTTTTCACGTGTGTAGGAGTGTAGCACTGAAAACGGAGATGTAATGCCTTCGTTCTTCTTTCATTATGTTTTCCTGAGTGTCTGACGTGTTCAGTTTCCAGATCTGCAACCTCCTTTCTACGTTTTCTGACCATTGCAAACGAATGTTAAATGAAACAATTCTTGTGGGCGTCAGAGGTAATTAGCAGGTTCTTTTTGTTGTTAGCATATCGATATAAACTAATAATTAGCATTTTAAAATAGCACAGGTAGTATTGTAGGTAAGTATTGTGTGGATCTCTGTTAGTCTAGGAAATGTAGATTTACATGATTACACAGGTATTGGGATCTGTCATAGCTGTGACTTAGCTTGAAAGTTGATCTGAGGACTCTTTAACATTCTGAGGTGTTACAGCCCTGAATGAAGAGCTTTTCCCAGGAAGAAATCATTATTCCTGGCTAAACAAAACTGTAACCTCGAACAACTGAGGCTTTATAGTGCTGAGAACCAGAATGGAAATTGTTCCGTTGCACAAGCTGAGTAACACCCTTTTTTGTTTCCCCTCCTAGCTGTGAGATGTACTCCGCTTCTTTCATTGCTCGCGGTGCTTTTCCCTGGGAACTTTTGTTTGGCGCTGGCAGCGCCTTCCCGGCGCGCGTGGAAAGGCCTGGAGCGGCCGGGGGCGCGCGGGCGGCCCGGGGCGGGGCTGCGGCGGCGCGACCTTTCACCCACTTCTCGGCAGCGGTCACGTGAGCGCGCCCGGGGCGGGGCGGGGCGGGGCGGCGGGGGCGCGCCGGGGGCGGGAGCGCGCCCTGCGGCGCTGGGGAGGGACCCCGGGTCCCCGCGTTGGGAATCCAGGGGGCCGGAGACGGAGCAGCACACGATCCCGAGCAGCTAAACCCAGACGCCGACTCTGGAGCGATCGGCGGCTCGGTGCGCACTGGACAGGGAGGAGGGTGTTTCTGCCACAGGCAGGATGTTGAATCCCGAGCCTCCTGTTGAAAATCTTGGGTAAAAATCGACTTGGATAAATGCTGGTATTAAAAAGACAAGGAAACAACCCTTCCCTTCCCCAAAACCTCAACCAAACGACCAAATTCCAAAACTGTGTATTTTTAATATTCCAAACCCATTGTCTTTGTCGTGCAGCATGCTGTATCATAGTCCCGAACTCCACATTTTCAGAAAAAGAAGATCCAGATGACTGAAGAGCATCCTTCTTTCTTCAAGTCTGGGTTAACTTTAATATGAATGGCCAATTTAAATATTTTTGCCAAAGGTTTGGAACTGGTTCTTCAGTCTTTCAACCTTCTACACGGTGAAAGACCTTATTCAAGTCTTTCAACCTGGTACAGTAAAATGTCATTGAACTACTGTGAGAGCAATTAATTCAATTTGCTTTTGGTCACCACACACTGTGGTCCATCTTCCAGGATCTCCTAAGTCCTAAAACATGACATCTTGTATGTCTTGTAAAAGTCTTGCCATTCCAGAAATATTTGTTGTCATAGAGAATAATTCTTGTTTGCTGCATAGAAGCTCATTAAGTTCAAAGACAGAGAGAGAAGGGATAAAACTTGTATAATCTAAATGCCTAGGTATGTCTTTTATAGCAGTTAAAAAGAAATACCCAGATCTAGAGCCTAGTGTTTGTGGGGTGGGGGAAGTTTCTACATGGTGTGATAACTGTGCAGTGTTTTAGCAGAGTATGCTTCTCTGTTACTCAGTAGGATTATTCTGGATTTATAGAAGGTCAGAGGATGTAGCTTGCTGGGGTGTGTACAATATAACATGTAGTGCAATAGATGCTAGAATGATGTAAGAGGCCTAGGAACAGTATGGTATGTCCTACCCAGTACAGGGGAAAATCCCTAGAAGTAATACAACCGTTATAAGTTTCTGGTTTGATGTGAAGAATGTTGGTGTTTTGTGTTTGTTGAGGGTTTTGGGGGGGGTTATTTATTTGTTGAAGTGTATGTTTTGGAACCATCTTTTACAGGAGCATGCTACTGGGAAGATAAAAGAGGTCATAAGATCCAGAAACTGTAGGGATTAATATTCCTTTGGGATAGCCTAGTAATTAACACATTGTTTGCTATAGCCAGTCTCCTCTACTTTGCCTGTCTTCAGTTTGATCAGGTGAGAAGACGATTTACTAACTTTCTCCCAGAAGTGCTAGTGAAAAGTCTGTTCTGTGACCATCTCTCCAAGAAACCTTGATGGCATCTGTGTTGAGTCTAATGGGAGTTTAAAGCCAGCAGGCAAACACTTGTTTGGATGTCTTAAAATGAAAACTAAAACTAGCATTGAATTCTGGCCCCTGAGATTCACTCGCTTGTCACAGTAGCTAGTGGTCACAAGCTTGAGCCCTCAGAAATGACTGAGTGGGTAGCAGATGAACTTTGTCACTCCACAGTTCCTTACCATCTCAGACATGTTCAGTGTAAATGGTTTCATACAGTGTAATGAAAAATAGTGTTTGAGAACTGCTGTCTGTGACTATTTTCTCCATTGGCATCAATTTTTCTGAAATTATTCCAATCTGATCTATTCCCTCTGAGCAATTGAAAGCTGTGTGTGAATTAAAAGCTCAAACTGCTTTTCTGGACTTTCTACTTGAGAGCTACAGCTGACTGATGGTGCTGTGTAATATCTGTTAGGAGCTAGGAGCATTGGCATGAGTCTGCCTCTCAGTGTGTCCTACCTTCAAGATCCCAGCTGCAGTGAGCTTCTGGAACAGAAGATTTGTGTGTGATAAATAGATCTCAAACTGGCTTTTAAGGAAGAGATCTGTTCATGTATGTTTACGTTTCATTCTTTGGTCTGTTTGTTATTCCCCTCCATCCACATATACCTGTTGCACCAGTTTACCACTTGGAAAGGGGATAAAGAAATGGGCCCTAGATTCCAAGGGAGATACCTGCAGAGGGTAATGAATATTCACCTGCAGGTGATCTTGGAGAACTGCTGAGGTCAGGACACAAACTGTCAGTTGGACAGCAAGTTGCTGCAGACTTCTTAGCTGTTCTGATTTCAGACTGTCTCCTGTGGGTGACTTTTGCTGTACCTGGGAAAATACATGTGTTCAGTTCTCCACCTTGTCTTGAACCACAGCATTTGTTCATTTTTTTAGATGTGGGAAATCCTTAGAGACATTTGCAATTCCAAGAGACCACAGCTGTCAGGTGTAGGTGAGGGTGGGAAGGATTGGAGCCAATGACGAGCAATAAGCAAATAGGAGAACTTGTCAAAACTAAAGTGGCATGAGAACACCTGTCAGTTTAACTTTGTTTTCATCAGATCAAGTCATAATTGATTGAATGCTATGCTAATTCAACTTTTAAAGGAGGTGATTCTTTGGTTTCTGTTTTATTTCTATGCCGTAGTCATTAGGTTCACCTGAGAAGCCCTGTTGAGTGAATTTAATTCACATGACTAATTTTTGCATGGAAATTATTTGGCTTCACTCCTAGATTTCTCATAATGATTTTGTGTCTGTAAAATATGATTAGTCATTGTAAGATAGCTGAGTTATTGGTAAGAATTGAGAGCAGCAAGTATCCTTGTTGTCTTATATGCTGAAGCCTGATTAGATATTATTGAAGGTTATTAGGTAAGGAAGCTATTTAGAAATAGAAGTTCTCAAGTCAATAACTGTGTCTTGTTAATATTTCTAGTAAGTTCAAAAGGCAGCACCTCGTGGAATGTCACATGAGCTATGAATAAACTCTGCTCTTTCTGAGGCTTTGGTATCTTGATACCTTTTTGCAGGAGTGCAGTATACATAAAGGTGGCATTAGCTAATAAAATATCCAAGAAATAGAAATGAGAGAGACTAGACAGTCTTTTTAGTCATATGTTTAAATGTTTGAGCTGCATATTTTATACTGTTTACTGAAGATTTTGTAGATCCAAACCTAAATTTCCTTTGGAGGTCATAAAACTCCAGACAAATTTGATGTTTGTTTAGTTTTCCATTAAACTGAATGCTTTTTCTTTAACTTTAGTTTTAATTTTGTTCAGCTATGCATCAAAGGAGCACCAGGAGCACCAAAAGCATTTTTGGCATCCTTTTGGCATTCTCTGGTTAGCTGTCTTACTTAATCAAGCCTCTTGCATTAGAGCAGAATTGTGGCATTTGTGTGAGTGACTGGCTCCCCTCCACTGTCTGACATATGAGCGGATGGCACCTTGAGTTACTGAGTCAGCGCTGGATGCTGCTGTATAGCACATACTTTAGTGCCTGAAATTATTGCATTTGTAGCAAACTCCATGAAAACAGTTTACTGAAGTCATGTCAGTTTTATTACTGATAATACAGACATTTTTAATTTGATTGGAACAGTCAATGTTTTGTCTAGATAGGGATATACATGTAACATTAAATTTCAACCTTATTTTTTATTAGGAGTTTGTACAGTTTCCCACCATATCACTGCAATATATGTGGCACTTAAGGTCAGCTCCAAAAATCTACCTCCTGCCTTCAGACTAGCTATTGAATATTTGA